AGTGGAATCTACAGCTTTGTGAATGAGAATGACTGACCCTCTAATACTCTCAGTGCATCTGCGTTTGAATTGAGATTAACATAATCATGATCTGCAGGAAATAGGTGCCCTTTAAAGATATCTTCACCTGTGCGTGTGTGTGTGTGTGTGTGTGTGTGTGTGTGAGAGAGAGAGAGAGAGAGGGAGAGAGAGAGAGAGAGAGAGAATCTGAGAAACTGGGTGAAAGCAATTCATTTATCAATGCTCAATTTTCCTCAATGTCAACCTGATCTCTCTCTCTCTTTTTGTACTTTACAATCTAGAAATAGGTTTGATTTTAGTTACAGGAAGTGCCCCCCCCAACATCTATTATTTCTAATTTGCTTTGTCAAGAGATTTTGCTTTACTTGCATTCATAGGAACAGCAAGTGGAAAGTATTTTGGGGCCACAAAAGAATGCCAGTGCTATTAGGCTGGGAAATTCGTGGGTGAGGTATGGATGCAGGACCCTGCTTCTCAAATGCCTTTCAAAACAACTTAACATGCGCAAGCATTTTCTGAGGGGCAGGACTGTCTTGCAGCATAGATAAAATGGTCCAATTTCTGCCTTAGAGAGAAGAAAAAAGAAATCTAAATAGACAACTGTTTCAAAGAAAAATTTCATAGCTGCTTAGCCTTGACAAGGTTCTGATGCCAAGCAGGGGTGGAGAGGGGTGTTGCAGGGCTGTGCCCTGGAGCCTGGGGAAGCAAGGGTTGGGTTGAAGGGTGGAGAGACCTTAGATCAGATGCAATGCTGCCTAATCAAGGCTAAGCCTGAGCCTGTTACCAGGGAGAGGAAGAGCCAGTGAATCTGACTACATAATTGCTATTTCTTTCTTTAAAAGAAAAAAAAAAAAAGTCTGGGGAAGAAGGGAGGAAGGAAGGGACAGGTTTAGACTCAGGAAGAGCCAGTGAATCTGACTACATAATTGCTATTTCTTTCTTTAAAAGAAAAAAAAAAAGTCTGGGGAAGAAGGGAGGAAGGAAGGGACAGGTTTAGACTTTCTGTAGGTTATTTCTAAATAACGAAAATATTTTAAATTCTTATTATAATTAATCAAATCTATGTTCTTTCAGAGTAGAAAACTAAATGAATGCATCATTAACAGCTTACTGTAAAAGTACAATCATGCAAATTTAACAGTCTCTTATTTATTCCAATTGAAAACTCTGATGATAATAGTAACATCTTGAACTTTGACCCTGTGCCAGACCCCGTGTTGGGAGATTTGCGTACATTATTTCCTCACAACAACAGATGAGAAAACTGAGGCTTAGAGAGTCAAAGTGAGTAGCCCACATCTCAAAGTTTGCATACGGAGCAAGCAGGATTGGAACCCCAGAGGTCTTACTCCAAAGTCGTGTTTGTAGCCATTATGTTATATTTCTTCCTCTGCCTCCTGGCAGCAGACACATCCTTGCAATCAGAAACAGGTTTTTCTTAAGGAGCCAAAGGAGAGAAGAGCCAATTTAGATGATGGGAGCAAAATTGTGGCAGTGCACACCTCTGTCACAAGCAGGTCTTTGAAAATCCCAAATGACTGAACTGAAATAAATGGAAAGAGTGTACTTATTTGATGTGGGGCATGGTTTACTGCTATAGTGGCTCAACAATGTCCAAGGGGCCAGCCAGTCCCTTGAAGACACAGACTGATGAAGAGCTGGCAGGAAAGGAGTTCTTGGCCACTGCATTCTGGGCTGGGATAGTAAAAAGCTGGGGCACTTTGTGTCTGGGGTGTCTCTAGATGATAATTTTTGATTTTGCCTCTTGGAGATGCCAGGAGAGGTAATGCAGAAATAGGGCTTTTTCAAAAATTCAGAAAATTTTTAAAGGAGAATACAGCATTTCCCTTGGAATAGAGGCTAGGTAGAGAAGAAAACTCTTCCCCTTTTCAATGCACTGAGACAGTGCTAAGCAATAAATATAGTGTAGAGGTCTCCATGTTTAATTAACACAAACGAAGAGCCAGAAAGACCTGGCTTCCCATTCCCGCTCCTCTGTGCAGGCAGGTCTTTTAACCTCCCAGACTCAGTTTCCTTATCTGTACCATGGGATTAGAATGCTTATGTTGCTGGGTTGTTTTGAGGATCAGAGATCACATGCAATCATACCTGGCACAGAACAGGAACTTGATAAATGGTAGTTATTACAGGTCCACCGTTCTTGCTGGGTGGGTGAGAGAAGGCTGAAACAAAAAGGATGAAGCAAAAAAAAAGAGGGAGGGATGGGACAGTGGCATCTGGCCTGCAAGCCCTGCTGTTGCCCCTCCCTAAATCTGCTCTTTCAATGAAAAATAAGCAGCTTCCAACAGATGAGATCTGGTGTCTGCAAAGACAAACAGAGCCAAAAGGCGATGTAACATGAAATTATGGACCACATTTCCCTCTAATGAGCCAGCCTGCTCGTTCAGAATGCAGTGCAGACTGGGCGGCACGTGCCGCTGAGCGACCACACTGCTCCTGCTGTGCACATGGGTGGCTTGAGCGCCGAGCACGAGTGCCGATATCAGGGCTGGTTAGCCCCCGGCCCTGCACGGGGCGGCGTGATGTATGTGGGAGGCGGGCACTGGAGCCAGCTGTCAAGGACGACTGTGGGAGTCACGCAGCCTTTAAGACACTTGGGAAACAGACTCTCAAGATCTTGCTGAGTGGAGAGGTACTCCGGGGAGGGAGAGAGAGAAAGAAGAGACACCATCTGCTCCCCAGAGGGCTTACTTCTTGCTCAGCTGGAAGACCACACACATACCACACATGTACACACTCACCAAGCACACACTCACCACACACCACATTATGTGCACACCACACACAGACTATGCGCATAACGTTTACCTTACATCTCACACATGTACACACACCACACACATTACATTCACAGACACACACGGGCACACATGCACATCACACACAGACTTACACCATATGTACGCCACACACCACATACAAGCACATACACCATATGCATCACACATGTGCACACACATACTCTACATACACTACACACATACCTACCACACACAGACTGCAGACATATATATGTATCATATATCTCACGCATGCACGCACACCACATGCATCACACATGACATGTGTACACACACAGCATGGACCAAAGACATGCATGTATACCACACACATATGTGCCACCCACATGTATATGTACCACACGTACCATACACATATACACACACCACAGACTCTATACGCATACACAAAGCATGCCACGCATAGCACACATACACATCCATATATCACACCTCCATACACACACCAATCTCACACTGTACTCATGCACATATACCACATACAATAAGCACTTGTATACATACACACCACACATGTACATAAATC